GGGGGGGGTTCTAAGAGAGGGGAGGGGAAAAAAATACAGATTCTGAAGCGAACCCATACACAGGTTAAATATGTTAAATAAAACACGAGTTAAAGGAGTACACTTAACAAACAACATCTACCTAAGAACGTTGTTAATGAGCACCATTTACAGCGTGGAGATGGAATTTCCTGTAAGCGCTTTTATTGTGAAAGCCAAAGCACACTTCTTCCTGTCGTGGAAGTAGCTGACTTAGCAGTCCGTCTCCGATGAATATGAACGGTCGCGTCATGGCTCATGCTAGCAAAGCATTTCAAGAGTACGTGTGCGTGCCACTCCCGTTGTCGTTGACGCACACAGCTGCGCGAAATTTTATGTTTCGGTACATATTTTTTAAACTCAAAATATATACACAAATGAACACCAAAAATAACTGTCGCTGCTGTACTGTCAATTTCTTGATTTGCCCATCGGCAGAGCGACATCAAAAGGTTATCCTGCTTGACATGAGCGTGTCATCTCCATTGCGGTTATCACACACACGGCTCGTAAAGGAGGACATGTTGTAAAAGGGTTCAAATAGGATGGCTCAATGAAAGTCCGTTTTTTTTTTTTTTTCTTTATCAGGACAGTTATTGTGGTCATGGGCGTCGTCGCTTCTTCACTGATAACAAGGAAATGCGTGTCGGGTTGCAACATTTCTGAAAGCCCTCCGAGGGAATTTATGGGAACAATTGTGAATGAAGCAGCGATTACAAACATTTCTGGTTCGTTGCTGACAGGGCGATGACATACACCGTACAATGAACTGGGGGAAAATAGATCGAAACTGAATTTTGACGAAAAACCGAGTGCGGTGGCTTCACGTGGTGGTTGGGAAGGCTCGAGATTCGCTCCACAGATTTCTGCATGATACTCTCCATCAACGTCACTGCACGGTCAGAAAAAAAAAAGGCTCAATACTTGGTCCACTTTACATGTACATGGTGTTTTCTGCCGTGAGCGTTTTCCGATTTCCGAGGCATCAATTGGTTGCGAGCTTCCAATTTGCCATCCATTCAAAAAGAAACTGCAGCCATTAAGGTTGCTAAAATAATGTGGGCAAACGGAGTTCTGCATGAAAATCTGCCATATTGATGTTCAAATTCAACGCCCTTACATTAAAACGCACTCAATTCCCGCTTGAGTCGCATCAATTCCAATGGAGAGTTTTCAATTTGGAATACCTCCAAAAATTCCACAGCTTCAAGAAGCATCCTGGACATTCAAAGACAAGATTCGACCCCCACAGCAACTCGAAACAAGCGTCTGATCGGTCCCTGCTGTTTTTTTTTTTTTTAACGATCAGGAGAGCGAGAGCCTGGAGAAGGAGAACGCGGCACTAAGGAAGGAGGTGAAGCAGCTGACGGAAGAGGCCAAGTTCCTGTCATCGGTGCTGAGCAGCCACGAGCCGCAGTGCGCAGGCCTTGCCCCGACCTCCCCGGACCTCCCGTATCCGCCTCCTCACCACCACCACCACCACCACGCCGCCTACCACCAGCACATCGCCGTGCCACACTACCAACACTGACCTCACCCCAGCGGGAAGATTGCCAGCCATCACGTCACGTCGGCACCCTTGGGACCCCTTTTTATTCTCCAAACGCTCGCAAAGTTAGGTACACCTGAACGACCCCGGTGTACCTAATTCCGCGTGCTCTGTCGAAACGCAAACTCTTGTCGACCCACCGAGCAGTCTTTGTTTACATGCTGAGAAAGAACCCTCGCTGATTATTCATTTGTACGTTTCCGGTTTGTTCGATTTTTTTTTTTTTTTTTTTTGCGGGGGGGGGGGGGGTCATGAAGCCCAGTTTTTTTTTGCTGCGTAAATCGAACCCCTCAAAAGCTCAGGCGATGTATTTCAATGTTTTTGGGACCAATTTGATTGTTTGACAAAGCGAATGTAAAGTCGAACCGAAGTTTGACGAAAGGAGATATTTATTAAATGTGGAAATGCCTTGTGATCTCCACTTCTCCTCATTCGACTGGCGTCTTCTCCTCTTTTCACAGGACATCCTTGATTCCAAGCAGGCTCCCTTCTTGACTTCCCGACTTTACATTCTTCCCTCCTTTTGTTCATCTTTCATCACTTCCTTTCATCCATCCTTGTGTCCTTCCATCCCTGCCCGCGTGTCCGACCTTTTTCGTTTTCTTCGCTTTCGCACCATCCCTCTTGCCTAAATTCCTTCCTTCCGTCTGTCCTCCATCCTTCCCTCCCGTCCTCCTTGCTCTCTGTCATCCCACCGTTCACAGCATCCTTGTTTGCTCGATTTCAAGCTTCCTTTCAATCAGTCCCGCGTTCCGTTTGTCTTTTCCTTGCATCCACGCTTCTCTTGACTTCCTTCCATCCCTCCTCTCTTCTGTCCTTCTCCCCTTTCCTTTCTCTCTCTTCCTTCCTTTCACACATTCGGTATTTTCTTGTTTTCTTCCGTTCGTGCCATCACCTCCCTTTCTTTCCAAAATAAGTCACTTCAAAAAAAGTCTGTACTTTTGTCTCTCATTGTTTTTGTCAGTGTGAGTGTTTGAAAAACGTGCAATACGCGGGGAAGAGGCGCACGTGTTCGAATAGCCCCCCCCTCGCTTTTGGGGGGGGGGGTTATTTCTTCTTTTCAATGTCAGCGTTTGGCCTCCTTCCGGTCAGCGAACGCCCACGCGAATGACCCGGATGTCTTTGAACTCGTTCTCACACGAAATGAGTCGAGTTTTACAGACGAGTGGAAAATGTCGCACGTGCTGACCGTGACTTTGGGCCACTCGTGACTCGGCTCGGACCAGTTTGAGCGACAAGCCCGCAGGCGTGCTTTTAAGGTCCGGCTCGGTCGCGGTGCGCGTGGACGGTGTCATGCTGCCGCCACGTGTTGACGCTCGAGGAAGGAAGAGCCAAGTCGGAACGAGGCGGGGGGGGTGGACTTCATCTCACTCACTTGCCCCCGCTCCCGGATCGAAACAGACGCCGATATTTTCGCGACTCGGACCCGCCACAAGCCAACTTTGAGTCCAGAGACGACGACCTCAATTGACGTGGAACTTCGGCTCGAGTCGACTTCAGCCACCCCCCCCCCGCGTCTTTAAAAAGTTGTTCCCGGTGAGTTCTTTTCGAGAATTCCACCAGTCACCCCCACTCCGCAATTAAAAAAAACAAAACATTTAAACCGGCCCATGTGCCGTTTTAAACTGCTCGCACACGCGCCGACGAGCTCGCCATGAAGGACGAGTCAGACGAGAAGAAGCCCGGCGAGGAGCCAGCCAAGCTGGAGTCCGGGGAAGGGCCGGAGGGTCTCCAGCGGCTCGCCGGTCCGAGTGAACCCGCCTCGGTCGACGGAGTTTGGGAGACGCGATTGTACAAGCGTCGCTGGGTCATGGTGCTCCTTTTCAGCTCCTACTCGCTGTGCAACTCGTACCAGTGGATCCAGTACGGCATCATCAACAACATCTTCATGAAGTTCTACCAAGTGGACGCCTTCACCATCGACTGGATGTCCATGATCTACATGCTCACCTACATCCCCTTCATCTTCCCGGTGACGTGGCTGCTGGACAAGAAGGGGCTGCGGGTGGTCGCCCTGGCCGCCACCGCGCTCAACTGCGCCGGGACGTGGTTCAAGGTGGGCAGCGTCCAGCGGCACCTGTTCGCCGTCACCTTCCTGGGTCAGTTCTGCTGCTCCCTGGCCCAGGTCTTCATCCTGGGCATGCCGTCCAGGATCGCCTCTGTCTGGTTCGGATCCAACGAGGTGTCCACCGCCTGCTCCATCGGCGTCTTTGGAAACCAGGCAAGTGGCATTTAAAAAGATGAATTGAATGTTTTTTTTTGTTTTGTTTTGTTTTTTGTTTTCTGGCTGAGCGGCTCACCCATTTGCGGTGTTTGAGCCCCTTCGGTGCCATCTTTGGTGGCAATGAATCACGTATGGGCAAGTATCAATACAGGCTAACGATACTTGAACCAAAAGAAAAAAAAAATCGTATACAGAGGCCGAGTCGGCAGTAGTTGGCGCTGTACCGTGGCGCTTGGACAGATTGTCTTGAATGACATTTCTAATGTCAAAAGCATAATAAAAAAAAAAAGGTCTCCAGCACAAGGAACTATGTTGATGTGGATCTGTGAGGGGGAAGGTTTAGGGGTTTGAGCATTTAAAAAAATAGTTTCACTTTTTTTGTTTTTTTTGTTTTTGTACAATGAGTGCCTGGTGTCTGTTAAGGATAAGGCATTGGGTTAAACTTTGTTTTTTTTTTTTTTGTGTGTTTTGACAAAGATTCAAATTCTCTTTGTATGATTCATACCAGCCATCAGTTCGTCATTCAATTTTAGCGATTGCCTGTTTGGCTGCAGCTGTTGTTTTGGTTTTTTTTTCTTTCCGTTTTTTCTTCCGAGAGATGGCATTCATTTGCACAACTAGTTCCATTCCACACTGGCGCCGTATCCGCAGTAACTGCCATCTTTTACAGGCAATGCGAAAGAGAAAAGGATGCCTCCATTTGAGGAGTGGGGTTTTTTCTGATACCGACGACATATTTGAGGCACGGCTTCCCTTTGAGTGGAGGCCTATCTTTGAGTAGATGTCGTGCTGTTATATGAGGGTCGCGTCGATGACGGTGACATCTTGAAAGCGTGTCATGTTGTTAAAATGATGCCGTCCGTGCCTGCCGCAGCTCGGTATCGCCATCGGGTTCCTGGTGCCCCCCATCCTGGTGCCCAATGTGGACGACATGGACGAGCTGGCCCACCACATCAGCATCATGTTCTACATCACCGCCGGCGTGGCCACCTTCCTCTTCATCCTCGTCGTCTTGGGTAAGAGATGAGCCGTACCGGACGATCGGATTCAAGATAACTCCCGATATCCCCAAACCGCACCCACGTTATGCCTCTTGTATCGTCGTCGGATGAGAAGAAAGCGTGGAGTGACTCCCATGTTCCCGTACAGACAAAACCGCCTTTGATAACTCCGCTCGTCGGGCGTGGGAACGCGGCGCGGGACGAAAGTCGCGGCGTTAAACGTACTGAGGATTTGCGGGAAGCCATTTGCATCGTATTGAAAGAAAGGAATTGTCGCATGGGAGCGTGCGGACCCTGGAATACGAGTGAAGGCAACGCTTGTTTGCGTTCAGCAGCACAGGAGGAGACTTGTCAAGGCATTCCATAGTAGCGCCATTCTTTCCGCATTTGCGCCGATTCCCAACGCTCGTTCCTTGTAACTGCGCTGAATGTCGCATTGTACGAGGCTGTAAAAGAATCGGATTGGTTTACCTTTTTGTCTCGTTTTTTTATCTCAAGAGGAACAAGCTAAGGATGAAGCGAGCGGCGATGTGCTCAGCTGCGTTTTGAGTCTCATTGTCGTGCGAGCTAAACATTTGTCAGCTGTAGACTTAGCATACAAGTAATTGGGGGGGGGGGGTCTCGAATCATTCCAATGATGACAAACATTGCCCTCATTCAGAACAAGTTTGACCGTGACAATGCAGCGCTTTCCTGGTTGGGACAAATGCGATAGTAAGGGGCTAAGCTAACAAAGCTCAAGGAGATAGCTTGCGTTTTTCACACAGTTCAGGTCACAAATACGGATGTGGAGAATGGCTAACATGCCTTTTGTCCCTTAAGGTTGCCTTATTTCCGAGTTTTGCCACACGCGGTCCTCAGGGCCTGAGCTAGCTTTGGGTTAGCTAGCATTTTGGACAACTTGGATCACAAATGGAGTACTCCACAAGGTCAAGTTAGCTAGCTAATGTGTCATCAAATTCACACTTGAAATGGGTTCAAGGTGAACTTACTTTAGAAAATGGACTCAAACGAGCGGCCAAAGGGAAAAAAAAAACAAGTCTGCGAGTGAACGTTGCTGTTTTTCAGGGCCGGCGAGATACTTGGCGTTGGTTAAAGAGGCTGCGATTGTCACACGGGTTCTGCGCTTCTCATTTGAGGTTAGCTGTCAAAACATGCAGGGAGCTCATCTTCTATCAGGGCATCTTTGCTCAACATTCATGTGCCGTCTGGTTTCACATTCGCAGAGCGAGGTCAGCCGTGCACCGTTATCGCTCCAAAGCTAGAAACAACCTTGTTTTTTAGTTCCCGGAGATAGAGGAGAGTTCCCGCTGTCTTTTTTTTTTTCTTTTTCTGAACACGAGGCCTTCAGGCACAGGAATCGGCGGTCACGTGATGGACCGGAAGTGCAGGTCGGGGATCAGAGAGCGAGACGAACAAACGCTTTTGTGCTCCGGCTCATCATCTCGCGTGTCGGAAAGCTCAAAGATGTTCCCTGCGTTGACCTTTTTTTTTTTTTCCTCTCTCTCTCAAGTCTTCCAGGAGCGTCCCAAGCTTCCCCCGACTCAGGCTCAGGCCACGGCTCGACGCATCCCGCCCGAGCAGTATTCCTACACGGCCTCCGTTCTCCGGCTTCTCCGCAACAGGCCCTTCATCCTGCTCATCGTCACGTACGGTACGGCTGTCCGTCCGCTTCTTTGGATCGCGGCCGCTGTCGTGGCCTTTGACCGAATGGCGCGGGTGGCGACTGAAGGGGCGCGCTGTGGTTTTGTGAAGAAGCGGAACACCGCACTCGAGCGCCTCATTGTGACATCAAATGCTTCCATAGGTTTCCTTCTCATCTTCCGCCCTCGATGGTCTCTATGTTGAGAGTGTAACACAATTCGAGTTCCTCTTTTTCATTTGATTTGTTGTCTTGAATCATATTTTCGCTGCTCTAAAATGTCCCGGAAGGGGATCTTATCTGCCACGCTCATAAAAAATCCACGGCCACTTGTTGGTCACCCGAAGAGGATGGGAGCACGTTGTCGTCGTCGTCGGAGGGGTCCAAAGTTTGTTTACGGTCCGCCAATGATTAACCGAAAAGCTCGAGTGGCCCGCCCTCGCACGAGCGCCTCTCGGCCGCCGGCGTCCCGCGTCGGCGGAACCTTTGGCGTCGCTTGAACTTGAACCCCGTGCCACCTTGTGTTCGGCACCGTCCGTCCGACCGTCGAGAGGTCGGAGATGTGTTTGTTGCGGAAGCTTTCTCCAACTGCGGCTCGTGAGCAAAAACGGCGCCCTGCCGCTCCTGCTCATTCAAGTTCCTGCGCGGGAGCTTTGCCGCCTTCGCTACGGCACGAATATTGGTTGAGTTGCCCCAATTGGTGTTCAAATATTTGCCAAGGCGATTGTTTAAGGGTTAGGATCCCTCCCTTTTGTGTTTTTTGATTTAGTTCTGAATATTAACTGGCGTGCATTTCGAACACCAGACGGCGACGATTTTTTTCAGCGCTTTTGATCTTTGTCTGTTTGTTTGTGCTGGAGCGGAAGCGAAACAGATCATTGCCGGCCATTGTTAAATTCCTTAGAACAGAACCGCTGTGTTTTGCTGTGTTTTTTTTTTTTTTTTTTTGGGGGGGGGGGCATAAAAACATCCAGAAGGAATCCTCAAAGCCTTCGACAGTCACAGGCCGCCTGCAAGGTGGTCTTGACAGCACCGCCAAAGAGGTCCTGCTTTCTTTCCTCTTTGTTTCTGAGCTTCCCGTAAGCAAAAAAAAAAAGACGCAGCTGTAAAACCTTGAGGATCTGTTTAACATCAAGGAGCACATGTGTCTATTTTTTTGCCCCTTCTCCCCCTCACTTTTCTCTGCTTGTCGTCTTCCAGGCTTGAACGTGGGCTCTTTCTATGCCGTTGGCACCTTGCTGAACCGCATGATCATCGAACACTACCCGGTACGAAAACCTTGGCGTACTTCTTGTCGTTGCTTCCGAGCGGAGCTGGCTGGAGGCAAAGCGTAAACGTTGTCGCCACTCCTCCAGGGCGAAGAGGTGAACGCGGGCCGCATCGGCCTCACCATCGTCATCGCCGGCATGGTGGGCTCCCTCATCTGCGGCGTGTGGTTGGACCGCACCAAGACGTACAAGTGAGTGTCCGAAAGGGCAGACCACCGAGGGCGATCTGCGAGCGCCGCGGAAACACGCATTTGTTGACGGTCCTTTCGGACCGCTCGCTTGTTTCTCCGCTTGTGCATCAAAGGCTCTTGGGCTGTTTATCCAGGTGTCGCTTTCAAGTTGACCCTCGTGTGACTTGCCCCCCCCCTCCCTAGCTGGCCTAACCTGCATCCATGTTGTTGTTTATTTGCGAGAGGATGGTCCCTGCAATTGGCGGAAAGTTGCAAATTTAGCCTGCGAGTTGGTGCTTGGCATAAATATGAACTTCCCGGTTGATATACGACAACTGGACCGGAGCTCTCTTTCTTTTTTTTGGGGGTGCGGGGGGGAAATCCATTTTTTTCGATGGATTTGGCGAAGGCAGTCAAACGAGGGTGTCGCGTGTCCAGAGGCGTGCGGTCAGGGGAGGCAGGTGAGGCAGAGCCTCACCTCTGAATGCGCATTGCATTGCGCAATCATCACAAACTGGGCTCGATACGTGCAACTGGCTCGTGCTGCTTGCCGTATAGCTAGCTGTATGTCACAAATATAATGTTTAGCCAATTGAATAAGCTACCCTTTTTTTTTTGCTTTGTATATTTGTAAATCTGACACCAAAGGAGTCAGTGCCTCACCAACCATGCCACTGCCCGTGTCTTCTTTTGCAGGCAGACTACCCTGGCCGTGTACTTCATGTCGCTGGTGGGGATGGTCGTGTACGCCGCCACGCTCGGCCTCGGCCACCTTTGGGTCGTCTTCATCACCGCCGGAGTTCTCGGGTAACGGCGCGGAAATGACCATTTTCCAAACTGTCGTGCTGGAAAGCCAACATGTGCATTCAAAGCAAAAAGATGTACCGTTCCCCTTTCATTTCGAGAAACTTGACGTACGCCGAGATACTTTTCGGGATGGCATTTCGTCAAGTCGGCCTTTTTTTTGCCTGCTCCTCCAAAGAAGAGGCCGAGCGCGCTCGCTTCGCGCCGGTTGTCACTCCCGGTCGTAGCGACACGTACGCCACAAGATGGCGAGCCGAACGCGAACACGTCTCATTAGTGGGCCGCGGAAATTAGCTTCGGACAAGACGCAGGCGTACGGCGCGCCCTTTAAGCCACGGATATTTGAACAAAAATGCCGCCGCGACCCTTGGACAGACGATGTCGCAGTGCGTCCGGGAATTCGTTCTTCACCTGACCGCCATGCGCGTTGATTTCCAAATTGAAGTCAAAATGGAGAAAAGGCGAATCCTTCCCGTGTGTGTGTGTGTGTGTGTGTGTGTCACTTCCACTGTATTTTCGAGTCAGCAGTTCCTCTTTCACACGCTGATCTTTGCTCCACTCAGATTGTGGACATTTACACTCTTTTTTTTTGGAGGGGGGGGGTTCCCAGCTGGAATTTTGTTGATCGAAAATTTTTTTTAGAAGGGGGGGGGGGGGGGCAAGAAAGATGAGTGTTGTTGATGATTATTAGTGGGCTTTTTCAGGTTCTTCATGACAGGCTACCTGCCGCTGGGCTTTGAGTATGCCGTTGAGCTGACCTATCCCGAGTCGGAGGGAACGTCCTCCGGACTCCTCAACTGCTCTGCGCAGGTAAAGGCGTCGCCGCATCCACAAATAAACAACGGGATCAAGTTGTGTCGCTTTGTGTTTATGGTCGTCCCAAGTTGGACTTTTTTCTCGTACTGCTACAGCAGCGGACCCAAACTACACCCCGCCCCCTCAACAATACCACAGATAGATATATATTTTTTGTGGGGGGGGGGCGGTGAAGAGAAAAGGTCTTACTTACTTCGCCGCCAGTTTTGGCTGTCACTTCCTTGCCTTGCTCGGAGCCGTCACCGCTTCCTCGTGCCGCGTCTTAAAAGCAGCCGATCTCTCTCTCGATTTGTAACATTCTTGGCTTGGCTACTCTGATATAAAATGACAACTTCATTCTCCTTCTTCTAAATGTATTCTGGTGAATTTACAAGCATATTCTCACGATGTTCCAATATTGTCGGAAAATGTCGGTTGCCGTCATGTTTCTGACGCCATTGCCATCAAATGAGATCAAATCTTGAATTCCCCCCCCCCCCCACCCCATTTCCGTGAAGCCGGAATGCTCTTTGGTCTTCTTTCTTCCGTCGCATCCGACGGCATTTTGATGTATTTATTTATTTATTTCTGGAAAAAAAGAAATCAAAACCCCAAAAAGATGATTGGCATGTTTGTGCCCGCGCAGGTCTTTGGCATCATTTTCACCATCTGCCAAGGCAAACTCATCGACAACTTTGGCACGCTGCCGGGAAACATCTTCCTGTGCGTCTTCCTCCTGGTGGGCACCGTCATGACAGGTAAGACAAGATTTTGACATCTCGCCACGGCGGCGCCGCGCGCCGTATTTCTTTCTTTTTCCCGTGCTTGATCATATTAATAATGACGGTCAACTCATGAAAACTCTCTCAAGAACTATCACCAAACATGTATTGACACAGTGCAATACAAGACATCTTTATTGATCTAGTTACGTGTTCATATTTGTTTGAATGCCTCTATTGAATCGGGCACATGAGCTGTGAAGCGCAATTCATTCATTCATGCATTTATTTATTCATTTTTTTTCGCCGTTGGTTGAGCTGTTTATGAAAAGCGGAGAAACGTACTTCCTACTGAAACTGATTTTGTAACAAAGTAGCTCGCCCCCCCCCCTTCGATCAAATGTGAGCCATTTGGTTCCAAAGGTTGCCATTTGCTGCCAAGTCCAAATTTAAGATCATGATTTGTGTGCCTTGCGGTGGTGCAATTGTTGGAGAATCTCGTGTTTGGACGGATTCAACCTTTGAAAGCGATGACACGTTTATTGCAAGAGCTATTTCGAAATGAATTGTACATGTTTGAAGGTCATTGCTGGAAACCATGTCCTGCTGCATTTCCTCGGCGACACCCAAATGCCAAAATGTGGCAGTATTGTTACAAATTTGCCAGACGTCGTCGTTTTCACTTCCCAGGGGATGAAATCAATCAGACGGGGTCCGAGACTCCTCGTCCTCACGTTGTCGTGGCTAAAAAAATGTGAACCCATGTGTCATTTGTATCGTTGTCGCCGAATGACCGGCAGGCTTCATCAAGTCGGATCTGCGGCGGCAGAAAGCCAACGTGTCGGCCAAAGCGGAAGTAAGTGCGCCGGAGCGGTCGTCTTCCTGCCCGTTGGGGGTCTCGTGTTTGTCCGTTTTGCTTCTCCAAACGCCGCCTCGCCGCTCCTCGTTTGTCGACGCTCCGCCCGCGTTGACGTCTTTGCCCCTTTTTTGCATGCTTGAGAAAGTTCAACCAAACGCGTCCCCGTTGTTTTGATGAACTTTGAGTGACAATGATCCTAATCTCTCCAATCATGACTTTGTCCATGACTACCATACAGTACTAACTAACGAACTAACTAACTAACTAACTAACTACTAAGTGAGGGTGCTGGTGATATTGGAACTGGACAACAAGTTGAACCTTTGCCACCTTGGCGTGAAAGTTTCTGACGACGAGGTTTTGAGATTTCTTTGAATTGGGAGATACCATTGCGATTTGCGCTACGCGTTTGGAGATTTGGCCTCAAGATGGTTTTGATGGCAATTGCATCATGTTGCAAATACTGCACACGGAGGAGACAAAGTTTTGGCTGGAGGAACGAGCATTGATTGGCGATGCCTGGTTTTGAAAAAAGTGATTTTTGTGCCAAGATGCAGGCGCAGCTTTGAGAAGGAGATGCATGCGGTGTTTTCATCTGCCAACTTTTGATGAGTAGACACGTTGGGGCTGTTATTAATTGGGACTGCTGCCAGCAGGCTGTCGCAAGCGCTCGCAACCCGTCCGTCCTCTTCCTCTCCACCGTCTCATTTCCTCTCGGTGTTTTCCTCGAATCAAAGCAAGCAAATCCGATCCAAACAAGAACATCCGATGATGAGTGTGCCCGACCGCTTCCCCGACTAACTTCCCCACCCACCGTTCCATCTTAACACGGCATCAGCGCGCCGTCTAACGAGGTGTCCCTGCTTGAACGCGTCTCGCCTGTCGCCGCATGACCTGTCGAATGGGGTGAGGTTACCGTGGTGACGAAATGCCAAGTGACGGGCCGGCTGTGATTTTAGGCGGAGGCGATGACGTCGGGACCAGAATACGGCGCCGCGACCTTAATCTCCGGATCTCAGACTCCGCCTCCACTCTAAAGCCTTCTGTAAACAAACAAACAAACAAAACAAAACAAACAAACACGCCCCCCCCCCTCCAGAAAAAAAAAATTCTCTGGAAATCATAGCGCCGCCTGCAGACGCACCGAGGTAATAATCACACGCCACCAATCTGTCTGCTTCACTGTTGCTTTTTGGCTTTGGCCGCAATCACGCGAATGAATGCAAGGCAGCTTTTTGCCTTCAAGCCGCAGC